CGCCGGGCCCGGCGCGCCCGCAGGGACTCGGGCCGGCCATGAGGCCTCGCCGCCCCGGCCCCGGGGGCTGCGGAGCGAGGGGCGGGGACGCCGGGCGCCCGAGGACGCGGCGGCCGAGGGGCGAGCGGCAAGGGCGACGCCGCCTCAGGGGGCCGCGACAGCCGCCGGGACGGGCGCCCGGCGCCCACCCCGGGGCCGCCGTGGCTCCTCGTGGCGGAGGCCGCCCCGCCGCTCACCTTTCCGCTCCATGGCGAGACCGGTAACCGCCAGGCGCCTGCGCACTCGAGTGACGGCGACTCGGGCTCCCGCCGCGGCCCAAATCCCAGCTCTCCCTCCAGGCGCGCGCAGGCCCCGCCTCCGGGCCCGCCCGGCCACGCCCCGCACGGCGCCGCGCGCCTGCGCACTGCGCACGGAGCCTACCACCTGCCCCGGGGGGTGCGGGAGAGCCGTGCAGGTGACCGAGGAAGGCGGGACGGCGTCGTGGCTCCTACGGGGCCTGCTTTTGGTGGCCCGGCCGTAGAGCACAGGGCGTGGAGAAAAACCTAACCTCCTGAGAAAGGTCAGAGCCCGCAGTCGGCTGGGATTTGCCTCAGTTTCCCCGCCTGCAAAACGGATTGACAAAACACGTCCCAGCTCCTGCCTGAGCTGTTGAAAGGGCCAATTAAGACGCTAAAGAAAATGGGAATTTATAATGGTGCGTGGACCCGTACAGAACAAAGGCTGGAGGGAGGAAGCATGTGCCCCTGTCGTCTTTTAAAAATAAAACCTGGGCCGGCAGCCCACGCCTTTAATCCCAGCACTCCAGAAGCTGGTGCATCTCTGCGAGTTCGAGGCCACGTGGGTGTACATAGCAAGTTCTAGGTTAGCCAGGGTTATATAATGAGCCCCTGACTCAAAATAAAGCAGTAAAATCTGGGCCGGTAAGATGGCTCAGAGGGTAAAGGTTCCCATCTCCAAGCTTGACGACCCGAGTTCCACCGCGGGTGAAAAGGACCAATTCCCACACCCTTTTGTCTCTGACCTGCCCACAGGAGCCATAGGACATGTAACAACCCCTCCCCTCCCCTCCCCGTAATTAAATAAAAAGAACAAAAATTTTTTTTAAAAAAGCAAAAACTGAATTTTCTCAAAAAGTTGGAAGTTGAAAAGAAAGGAGGGGGTGAATGAAAATTCTGTTTTCTCATTTTACCACTTTATCTTTTCAGTCCATCATAGGATTTACAGGGTGTTTCCACACTTTTCTAAGGTCTTATTTGATGTTGATGTCAACTGCAGGCCAAGGTGGTTATTATCCCCATTACACAAAGACTGAAACTTGGGAAGGACGTATGCGCAGAATCTCGGTGTCCAAGCCCAGTGATGCGGGCATCAAAACCCTTAGAGTAAAGTAGGAGCAGCCCGTATTTATTGCTGAGATGGGCGGGAGAGTGGCGCCTGGGGCTCTCCGGACCCCAATATTTCTTCCAGAGCATAGGCTGTGGATGTTTCTATAGAGATTTACTTACAGGCACTGAAATTTGAATTGTATGTACATTGCATGTGTTACAAAACAGTCTCCTATGGATCTTTTTTTTTTTTTATCATGATTTTTCAAAACCATGCTCAGGTCTCAGCTCGCCAGCCTCGGTGGTAAAGTTGACCCCCGCACATTTTAAAGATAGCAGGAATATGTTCTGAGAAATGTGGCACAAGGTGACGCTGTCCTTGGGCGGACATCAGAGAGTACACTTACTCAGAATATGGCTACAAAGTCACTAGGTAAGCCAGGGTTATCGAGCTGTACCAGCGACCGGCCGGGACTGCTGCAAGCCCCATGCGCCCTCAGCTATAGAGCGAGGTCCAAGCCAGTCTGGGCTACAAAGTGAGACCATGTTTCAAAATGAACAGATGAAGGAGAGACGGTGAAGAACACACTGTTCGCTCAGAGGCCTGCGGTTGGGTTCTCAGCACCCACTTCCTGTGGCTCCCAATTAGCCGAAACTCCAGCGCCAGGGCATCTGGCACCTGACTTCTGTAGGCGACTGCGCTCTCATACACAAACACGCTATATATGTGTGAATATATATTTAAATACATATATAAATATATACACACACATAAGTAAATCTTAAAGAAAAACAAAACAAAACCAGGCCAAGTGTGATGGCACATGCCTTTAGTCCCAGCACTCATGAGGCAGAAGCAAGAAGGCCTCTGTGAGTTCAAGGTCAGCCTGGTCTACATAGTGAGTTCCAGGACAGCCAGGACTATAAAGAGAGACCCTGACTCAAAAAAAACAAAAAAAAAAACAAAAACAAAAACAAAACTGAAAACAACCAAACAAAAAACCCAAACCCTTAAAACAACAAGAAGCCACAGGCAGTAAACATAACCTTTGGGATTACTGCCATCTATGAATTCTGTTGCCGACTGAAGCCTTTTCATGTGGCATATGTCTACCTTCCAGCTGGACAGGGTAGGGCATCAAAACCCTGCTCTACAAGAGGTGGAACTCCCATTCAGGAGATAGCTCAGTGGGTAGAGCACTCACCTGGCATTTGGAGCCCCAGAACCCATAAACCTGTTGGGCAGGGGCAGTGGCCTGCTGGAGACAAAGGATCTCAGAGGAAGTTGGCTAACTAGCTAAGGTGGCAAGCTCCCGTTCAGTGAGAGACCCTGCCTCCATAAAGTGGAGGAAACTACCTCAGGCCTCCCCATGCCCATGCACACGCACACGCGCACCACACACAACTGTGCTTACACACATAGGAACACATAATACTTCTGTGCAGCCCGCACACACATCTACATGCAAACAGAGTAAGGAGGAGGACGGAGGGAAGGCAGACACGTAGTCAATTAGGAAAGGAAGATGAGAGCACAGATCAAGCCTGGGGGCCCTGGGCGCGACCTCATGAGCAAAGTAGGTGAATCAGTCCAGCCCGGCTGTTGATGTGGGTGCTGGGAAGGGTGTAGGATTTTCATAGGTGGAGAAGGAGATGGCAAGCATTCCCAAAAGAAAAATCAATTGAGCAAAAATGTCCAGGCTGGAAACTTGTGGGTGGAGACTGGGGCCAAGAATGACAGCAGGTACGGGATAGGTGGGGCTGGAAAGGTGGGTGTGCCTGATTGGAAATTCAGATCACCTGTGTCGGCTGCACAGAACCTGAATGATGGCATTTCTGGGTTGATTGTGAAAGAGGCCAGCACTTCTTAGCCAAAGAAAACTGCTTTCTGCTTTAAACTTGAGACTCCTCGGAGGATCACAGGGCCGGAAAAGACCTGATGTCCTAGAGTCTGAGCCTAGCCCAGGGAACCCCTTTGGGGAGCCGATCATGTCCTGAGTAAATGTGAATTGTAGGCATACCAAGAACCCCTATTCCAGTACACACGTACGTGCACGCACGTGCATGCAAACACACACACACACACACACACTCCAAGGGTTTACTGCAGATACATCAGCAAGGAAACACAACCTGCTGAGACTCAGCCTTCCTCTGGTCCAAACATAAGTGTTGACTAAGGACTGACTGGTGTCTGTGACAACGAAAAGCCACAAGGGAGTACGACTCGAACCACAGCTTCCTCATCCCCATGTTGAAGCCTGAGACTGCTCCCCTGCAGAGACCTTCTTTGAGGCGAGCTAACCTATCTGACCCTGTGCTGACCAACCCTCTGAGTTTTCAGTTGCGTGGTGGGTGCCCTCCACCACTGTGGACACTGCTCACCTGATCCTGGTTTGTTCAGTGTGCCTGTCTTCATTCCTTCATCATCCCAGTCGGGTTTCCAGGACCAACCAACCGCCCCCCCCCCTCCAGCAGTTTAGTAAAATGATGACCAGGGGGCTGGAGAAATGGCTCGGAGGTTAAGAGCCCTGGCTGCTCCTGCAGAGAACCAGAGTTTGGTTCCCACGTGGCAGCTCTCACCACCAGTTCTAGGAGCTGACACCTGCCCTCCTCAGGCCTGTGTGTGTGTGTGTGTGTGTGTGTGTGTGTGTGTTGCTGCCCATTGCTTCTTGCTGACCACGTGCTCAACAACTCAGCTGAGAATCTCTTCCAGCGGCCACATAAAATTCACTGAACTGATTTCCCAGAATTGGTCATCTGTCTGTCTTTTTTCCCCTCATGTGTTTTTTTTCTTCTTGTTCCCTAGGCGTTATTAGGGTCTCTACACTTTTTCTAAGATCTCTATGAATCTTCATGTAAGTTTGTACCTTCGCCTCCTATCCTAGAAAAAGCTAGTTCCAGTTCTGCTTTTCTTTTGTTTTGGTTTGGTTTCTCTGTGAAGCCCTGGCTGTCCTGGATTTCACTCTGTAGATGAGGCTGGCCTTTGAACTCAGAGATCCACCTGCCTCAGCCTCCCGAGTGCTGGGATTAAAGGTGATCGCGTCCACCCACCTGACTTCTGCTTCTTAATTTATATATGTAAACTGTGTAAACCTTGTGACTGTCAGACCTTCCCGTGCTCGTTGCCACCAGTTCAGAAAAGGTTGTCTTTTCCGGACTTTAACTTTCTGAAAATTATTCAATAGTAGTAGTTATTGGGGCTGAGGACGTGTCTCAGTGGATACAGCAAGCAGATGCTCTGAGTTACATAAAACTGAGGTGGTACACTCCTGTAAGTTCAGCCCTGGGGAGGCAGGAGCAAGAAGATCAGAAGTTCAGGGTTGTCCTTTGCCACATAGCCAGTTCAAGGCTAGCCTCTGCTACTTGGGACCCTGTCCCAAAGAGTGGTGGCTGGTTTTGTTTTTTGTTTTGTTTTGTTTTGTTTTGTTTTGTTTTGTTTTGTTTTGTTTTTGGTATTCATTGCCTCTTGGATACACATGCCTCCTCCCCCAGCTGTTTTTCTGCGAATCTTTTTTAAAATGGAATTATTCAGGCAGCAAAAGCCATCATATTTTTGGCTGCTCATGGGCGGTGTCAGAATTTAATTTCTGGAAAAAAAAATTCCCATTCCTCTAGAAGTAACATACTTGTAAAGACTGTTCTTGTAGTCTTCCCCCAACACTTCTGAGGCAGTTTCTAAATCTGATCACTTAAGCCTGCACAACCGGAACATACTTTTTTTGTGTCCTCAAGTCTCACAGTCGCTGTCCTTTCATTGTTACTGGTCTTTTGAGATACAGTTCTGCTACAAAGCCAAGGCTGTCCTCAAACTCCAGGCAATCCTCCTGCCTCCGCTTCCTGAGTACTAAGTGCCTGCCACCGCACCCAGCTACATTCTTTATCTTTTTTGTTTGCTTGTTTCAGCTTTTGTTTTCTTTTTTGACACAGGAGTTGACTTACTAGCCTTGGTTGGCCTTTATCTTGAGGCTGACCACATGTTACACCAAATACAAACTAATTCCAAAGTGGC